GCTACAATGTCTTAACTAAAGGAATCTTTTCCAGTGAGAGAAACAGTGCCTAGCATCTCTAGTTTATTACAGACTTCCACGATGGTTGCTTTTTGGCTTGGTAACATTGCCACCAAAGTTACCAGCCTGCCTTTCTTTCCCCCTTCTTCAGTCTTATCCCAAAGCTGGCCCCTCACCCACATTATAAAACTTGCAGTCAAAAGCAAAAGAATATATTGAACAAAGAAACATTTTAAAAAATTCTCAAACTGTGTAGAAAGTTACAATCCTCTTCTATCTCCTTTTGAAGTTTCAGTATTGACAGAGCACAGTGTTGATCAAATACATGTTCTTTCCTCCTTTTGGATATTCTCAATGCACATTCACATATTAAATGCTCTAAGAAGTAAAAAGGGAAAAAAGCACCTTTCTTCATGTAACACAGGGCTGGCCCACAGTACCCAGCCCCACCACCTCCAAAACAGTTCCTCACCTTCCTTTGAAACAGTGTTCAGGGAAACACACTTTGGGATGAACACTACCCTATGGCATCTTCATAGAGCCAGTAAAATCTGAAAAAGTGTAAGTCAGGATGGGATAATCCCAATTTTCAGGACCATGAACTCTGGAAGACTGACTTCTTTTAGTACAAATGCTCCTGAAGTTTCTCTGAAACAGCCTGAGGCCACACTTCCCAGGCGCTTCATAAAGGACTGTTTTTTGCAGGTCTGATGTCCACAACACAGGCCAGACCAGAAGCAGAGACAGGGGTGCTGTGATCTGGTCTCAGGCAGCCTGCTCCTGACAAATGTAGGCCACAGAAATGATGCCAGATATTTGCCACTCTGCTTTCTCTTATCAAAGTAAGAAAGAAAGAAAGAAAAAAAGAGAGAGAATGGCAGGAGGGAGGAAATGAGGGAGGGCAGGAGGGGAGAAAGAAAGGAAAAAAAGAAAAAGTTCTTAAATATAGGCATGGAAAGTAATATCAGGAATAGACCCCTCCTATAGGATGCCTCCTCATTAGTGGAGAACATTTTCCAGATTTTCCAGAACATTTTTCAGAAACGTCTATGTGTGCTGTACTTGGTAGAAGGGGACAGATAGGTTTGCAAAACAAACTGCTTCAGAAAGCCATCTGCCTGTCTCTCTCTCTCTCTCAAAAGCTCTCTCCTTAAAAAAAATATTTTTAGAGTTATTCTAATTAAGAAGAGAAGTTCTGTCGGGTGTGAATACCCTTTTATATGGAAAGAATGTTTGGAGGGCTCAAAGATGGGCCTGGTAGAGCTCATACAAATCCAAATTCCAAACCAAATAACAGGAGAGTTGTGTATTATACTTCAGTATTGCAAATTTCACAAAAGAATGGAAGGCAGGCCAGAAAGTAAGCAGTTAAGGAAGAGAAATATGCAGGCTACATCACGAATTCAAAATTAACTTGCAAAAACAAAGCAAATTTTTAAAATATCTTTGTATCTTACAAGTTATAGCCTAGAGATCTGTGCAACAAAATGGGCATTTTAATGAAAAACAGAATGGGGAAAATCTCCTACTATCACAACACTGGTTAATGATTTTCTTCTCTACACTTGTGCAATTATAAAATGTTATCTTTGGAAGAGAGAAGTTTATAAATCCATGTAGTTTGCAATGAGGAATCCAAGGCAGAAAGAAGCAAATTGGTTGGCCCAAGGTTGTTCAGCCTCTAAATTGCACAACTGACACTAAATCCCAGGGTCCCAATCATGAGTCTGGGCTTGCTCCCTTCCCCAAGCCATGGATTTGGTCCAGGTAGGTAACTCTTGGCTACAGACTCATTCCTGATGTGAAACACAAGTTTCGCTTTCTTGTGCCTCTTTATATGAAAACAGGGAAGGTATGTCATCTGATAACCTCAGCATGTTAAAAAAAAACACACATACTTTGGGATGTGAAAAGATCTGACACAGCTTGCCTTGGGCTTTCTGTATTTGGGGACGATGGATCAAAAAGTAAAGATGAACCATTTTGAAAAGAAAATGAGCGACATGTGCACGATACTGAAGCTATGTTACGTAACTGGCCTTGGGAAGCAGAGGCACTAGATGTACACATTGTTCGATTATGCTTTTACCTGCACTGTTACATCGTTATGCACCATTCTGGGGCTTCCCTGGCGGCTCAGACAGTAAAGAATCTGCCTGAGATGCGGGAGACCTGGGTTGATGCCCAGGTTGAGAAGGTCCCCTGGAGAAGGGAATGGCTACCCACTCCAGTATTCTTGCCTGGAGAATTCCATGGACAGAGGAGACTGGCGGGCTACAGTCCGTGGGGTCGCAGAGAGTCGGACAGGATCGAGTGATTAATGCTTTCACTTTTCACTTTCAAAACAGATTTCCCATGAGTCAGCCGGATTATGCAGAGAAAAATAAAACTATGTAAAGATACTGAAATTGACCTTCTACGCTCCACCCTAATCACCATGTAGTGAAGTCCACAGTTGACAAGTTCTAGATCAGTAGAGAAAGCTTCTAATCAGGTCTTTAGTGCCTCAATCTTAAGTATAAGTGGACTGCTAAAGTTGCCTAAATACTGAAGGAAAACTTCTAAAAGAGACTGAAGACAAAATAAAAACAGACAAACAAAAACCCAGAAAAGTACATCTCTGGGGGAACAGAAAATACACAAAGAGAAAAAATATTAAAGATTATCATTAACATCTCTAAAGAAATAAAAGAGTACATTTATGAATAAAAAAGCATGATGCTAGTTTAAAAAATGGGCATTTGAGGATCAAATATGAGACAATGGAAATTAATATACAGTAAAGAAGAAATAAAATTCCAAAAGAAAGACCTTGAAAAAAAATTGAGATTATCTTTTATATATGAAGCAAAAAAAGAGGTGGGAAACAACACAAAGGGAAATGAGAAAATTATGGAACTCACAGAGAAGGACAAATATCTACACAACAAAAAAACAGGAACAAAACATCATTAAATAATTCAAGAAAATTTCCAAGAACTGAAGGAGATTAACTCCAAGATTGGATAGGCCTACTGCATTAAAATAGAATAATTACACCATGATATACCCTTGTGCTGGAGAAGGAAATGGCAACCCACTCCAGTATTCTTGCCTGGAGAATCCCATGGACAGAGGAGCCTGGCAGGCTACTGTATATAGGGTCATAAAGAGTCGTATATAGCTGAGTGACTGAGCATGCATACCGTGCTGCAATTTTAGATCACTGATCCTAAAAGTTTCCATCAAAAAACAGACAAAAAATGAGAACAGCATCAGACTGCTGCACCCTGGATGTCAGAAGTAAATGAAGTCCACAATGTTCTCAGAGAAAATGCTTTTCAAACTAGAGTTTTCCATCCAGCAAGAGAGAAGAATGAAGTTGCCATATCTTCAAGGTCTCAAAAAAATATCTCTCACCCACCACCTTCCTTCAGAAGCCACTGGAAGATGAATTTTGTTAAAATGAGGGAATAAGTGAAGAAAGAGGGAAAAATGAGGTTCAAGAAAAAAGATATGCAACATACAAATAAAGCAAAGGAAACCTCCACTTTGAGAAGCAGCTTAGAAAGTCCCCAGACATTCAAGTTCGAAGCAAAATTGATAGATTTTCCCCAATATATATATAAATCCAGTAAAATTATATTTACATAATGTAGAAGAATTTAGAGATGACTTAGTCTAAGTATATAAAAATTAGCAAAAACTAAGAAAACAAATTGAATAAAAAACCTAAGAAAACTAAGCAATAAAAAGAGGTGATTATTAATTTCAAAGAAAATAAAAGAATGTGCAGAAAAGGCAAAATGATTATAATATACCATATAGTTCAACTACAAGTAGAGTTCACACAGTAATAATAATGTAACTGTGGAATATAGATGATTGGTGTTTATGTAACTTACTGGGAAGAAAAATTACTTTTTGTGTGGGTAGAGTCAGGAAAGCAACATGTGTATGAAAGTGAAAGAAAACTAAAACCCCAACTTCCTGAAAAATCTAGAGGTAGCAGTATAAGCAATATCATTTGGAACTTTGGAAAGTTGTTACCAAAGAAATGGCTAAATGAATTTAAAGTGGTTGCTTCTGGGAAGAAGAAATGGGGGAGGTGTGTTCTGGGCTTGCTATTTTTGCAACAATTTTCATACAGATATTTTTCTTTGTTAAATTATTTGTATGTATGTATGTGTACATTTTAGTTTCTTTCAAAAGCTAAATTTAAAAATACTTAGTTACTACGAACACCAACATCCCAATATTTAATAGTTCTATAAACTTCTAAGTCCTTGCTATATGTCTATTGCTAATTTCAACTGGAATTTTCTTCACCAAGGTCACAATAGGTTCCCTCCCCAGTTCCTCCGATTTACGTAACAAGTCTATTTTTGCTTGTTTGTTAAATGGCAAGGTTAATACTGCAGATGCTCTAACTGATGAACCCAGACTCGCTGAGCAGTTCTGAGACTGCATCTAGCTCTGCATTACCAGAGCTCTCAGACAATATATCAAATACACATGGACCCTTCTCTCTAACTGTTGAGAGTTCAATAAAACCAAATATTCACCTATAAGCACCTTATCTGTAATCACGTGAACACTATTAAAAGTAGGCACTAAAATCGGCAAAGCACTTTAAGGCATCCCCACCTGTCTCAACCATAACCAACACTATAACCAAAGAGGTGCCAAAATGACTCAGTATTGCCATTAGACAAACATTTCTGATGGAAGTCTCTGCACAATGTGAAGGTCTCCAAGTTTTGATTATAAAGGCAGCAAAAGACAGCCCTCTACCGAAAACTGGTCAGATTAGAAAGAAAAATACATAATCATCAAGACATTGCTGTATGCAAAGTATCTTAGGAAAAGTTCTTTCTCATTCATTTAAAAGAAGCTCATAATAGAACCCCACATTTTCAAGCATAAGTCTCTACATGTTTCTGGTCTAAAATGTGTTCTTTCTCCCACTTTTAAGGACACTATAAGGCAAATTATGTTCTCAGGAAAAGAAACAAACTTACCTTTCACAAGCTCGGACAGTCCATGCGGCAATTATCCATAATGAGATACTAAAAACCAAGAGTACAGTTCCTGGGCATATAGTCATTAAAGTCTTCATAACAAAACGCGTATTGAAGTTTATCTTATTAAGTGCTCCAATGCTTCTAGAGGAGGCATCAGTGAAAAGTTTGCTATGTAAAAGCATGACTCTGGCAATCAGATAGAGTCTTAAGAACATTGGTATAGACAAAATGATATCCACGTCAGCGGTGGTGGTGGATGGGGCATAGGAGAAGGCAAGCCGGGCCGTCCATGTGAACGTGTAATTCCCAGGTATGGGGTGAATAGCACACACCAGTATCTCCAAGCAGATGAAGAAGATACGCTCATAAGTCATGGCTATTCTCCAGTCATCTGCACCGTTGTCCACCATGAACAACTGGAAGATAAAGGAGAAAGTCAGCTCAGCATGGCTCAGCGCAGGTTTTCAAAACACATCACAGGCGACGTCAAGCAATCATGGCACGTGCTAGGCCTTAACTTCTAAATGCTAGTAGCCAGGTACACTATTTTAAGAAAATGGCATTGGCACAGAAGAACTTTATTTTGTAAAAATTAAGATTACAAACTCACCATACAGGAGCTGAAGCTATTTTGGAGTCTATGCCCCTGTTCAATCATGTCAGTGACAGCATTTAAAAACAAGGGATTGGGGCCTAACAGTAGCGTACCTCCCCCTTAGCTGAAGTCAGAAAGGTTTGCCTTGTAACAAGCTGTTCTTCTCCTTGAGGATCTAGATGGAAACCTCGCACAATTCTAGCCATATTCTCAGCAAAATCTACTTACAGTGCCTGGGCAATCGGTTATACCCTCTAATGCAACAATACAGGCACGTTCTTACAGATAATCTTATTTTTGGCTTCTGAAAGAAAATCACAAGGGACCACAGACAAACGTGGCAAAAACATGTCTCCCAGCTGCCTTGCCACTGCTCTAGATTTTAACTCTTTCCTTCTGCTCTCCCGAAGCCTTCCCTCGGATTATTAATTTGTTTTCAATCTTTCTTTCCATAATAAAGGTTCCTCTTCCCTGCTTCTGTCATTCCTCACTCCACAATGAACGAAAACAAAGAAAAGAAAGAAAAAGAAGATAGATAGACAATAAAAGGAACAGAAAAGAATGTTTCCTGTCTTCCCCGGCTGTTCAGTAAACAAGTCCCCCAGGCTCTAGACCACAAACAACCAGAGGCATCTGGAAGTGTGTGGTGACATTTCTGACTGCCACAGTGACTTGTGAAGGCTACTGGCATTTAGAGCCGGGAAGCCAGCGGTGCCAAGCTCGCTGTAATTCTGAGAGTCCCACGCACAAAACAGACCTGTCTGCCCAGAATGCCAACAGTGCTCTCCCACTGAGCAAGATGACATATTCTTTGCCTTTTGGTAGGTAGCCAATTTCTGTACAAAGCATGAGATGAAAGCAACCCAAGTGAGAACAGAGAGTTCTCAGGTATGAGTTGCAGGGGAAGCTGGTTGAGCAGATCTTCACGATGATTGGATTCTATGATCTCTGTTCCTCTGGAGTCAACATAGTCATTTCCCTAATACTTGAATGCTAAGTTGCTTCAGTCGTGTCCGACTCTGTGCAATCCTATGGACTGTAGCCTGCCAGGCTCCTCTGTCCATGGAATTCTCCAGGCAAGAATACTGGAGTGGGTTGCCATGCCCTCCTCCTCCCTGCAGCACTTAGATGGTAACAAATTCTCATTCTAAGTTAATGGTCCTGCAGGTCATGGCTACTGCCCACACTGTCATTCAAACACTGCCCTCAGCGCTACTTGCAAAGACAGGAACTTGAGGACAAAATGATCACTTCTTTCTGGTACTTCAAAAAAGTTAGAGAATAAGCAGGATCTCTTATCAAGTTTTCAACAAATTAAGTTATGGCAACATATGGTTTTCTGTACGCCTTTATCATTAACTTTCTACCTAGGGAACTCTGAGAGTTTGATAAATAAATGCTGCTACTGCTAAATCGCATCAGTCGTGTCTGACTCTGTGTGATCCCATAGACGGCAGCCCACTAGGCTCCCCCGTCCCTGGGATTCTCCAGGCAAGAACACTGGAGTAGGTTGTTCTTTCTCCAATGCATGAAAGTGAAAAGTGAAAGTGAAGTCGCTCAGTCATGTCCGACTCTGTGCAACCCCATGAACTGCAGCCCACCAGACTCCTCCATCCATGGGATTTTCCAGGCAAGAGTACTGGAGTGGGCTGCCATTGCCTTCTCCAAATAAATGCTAAGAGACAGTAAAAATTAGACTTTCCAGTTTCCAAGAAAGAAACAGATCATAAATAAAACCATTAAGTTGGCCACAGAAATATTCTTGTGCAGTTCACCACTTTCAATACCACACTGGCATAAAAGAGTTCAATAATAAAGATATACAAAAGATTGCATAGATATAATGGTAGAAGCCTTCTAAACTGTTTATCAATGACTATTTACAGGATACTCTATAACTCTTCAGGAATGTGAACCCAAAATCTCTTAAGGTCCTTATGTCCAAAAGGATGTCTTCCTCCAACTAGCTACTTTGAGAGGCTCTATACATTCTAGAGGCACTATCACTACTCTTGGTAAAGTGCTATCAATTGCCAGTGTAAGTCATGTAAGAAAAGCAATATTGGTATTTAAGTCTACATTTCCATTTCTACTGAAAATGATATTACCAAGTTTGTCTCCTTTCTTCACCAAACATGGCTCTGAACGACTTGGAAACATATCAAATCCACCCCCAAAAGGAGTCATAAGCACCAAGACACCGGATAGACAGAAGCTGTGCGACAGATTCTCAGCACGATTCCAAGACAGGCTTTCCTCGCGCCCTTCTGGGCAAAAGCAGCATCAGAGCAGAAGGAATGCCTTCTGAGGTGAGCGGTAAAGCAATGTGTAATTCTGACAGGTTACTTCCAGGCTCCGATTTCTCCTGGTCCTCCCCCATCACTCCCAGAGCACTTGCTCCTCTGACCTCAGGCTTCCCATCGCCCTCTCTGCTCACTTCCCTAACGAGGCTGGTTCACTCCACTCCTTCCCAGCACTCCAACCACTGTGCCATCAGTACCCTCAGCAGCCTTCTCCCTCGTGTTCTGGTGGACCTACCCTGGTCACTTTCCATCGCGGATGTGCAGGCGGGCTGGGCCCACCACAGGCCCGGGCCTTCGGTGCCGCTGAACCCTCAGTATCTCTGCCATCATCCTCCGACCCCACAGCTTCTGCTCCAGACAGGCGTCTTTCCCTCCAGGGCCAACTTTGNCTTTCCATCGCGGATGTGCAGGCGGGCTGGGCCCACCACAGGCCCGGGCCTTCGGTGCCGCTGAACCCTCAGTATCTCTGCCATCATCCTCCGACCCCACAGCTTCTGCTCCAGACAGGCGTCTTTCCCTCCAGGGCCAACTTTGCTCCTGTCAGTACACTTGCCCGTGGTATCAGAAATACCTCCATTTTATACTTCAGTCACAAGCTCACCTACATCTCAACCTTTTCTTATTTCCACTCTCTTCTGTTCCACCTATTTACAGCAATGTTCCATGGAAATCCAGTTCCCCTCCACCGACAGCCCCATTACTGTGCTTTCTCCGTCTCAGCAGATGATACAAGCAAGTTCAAATCTCCGCCGTTCGTGAAAATCAGAGCAACACAAACAAGGGCTTCCCTGGTGGCTCAGATGGGAAAGCGTCTGCCTGCAGTGCGGGAGACCCGGGTTCGATCCCTGAGTCAGGAAAATCCCCTGGAGAAGGAAATGTTAACCCACTCCAGTACTCTTGCCTGGAAAATTCCATGGACAGAGGAGCCTTGTAGGCTACAGTCCATGGGGTCACAAAGAGCTGGACGCAACTGAGTGACTTCACTTCACTTCAACACCGAGTCCCTGCCAGCTCTGTGTCTGCCCTAAGTAGTCTTCATTTTCTCACTTTTCTTTCACCCTAGCACCTCCATGGGGCTTTCATCCTCATCATCCATCACCCCACCAATACAGCTCTAAGGGTCAGTCAAGATACCTTAATTATGAACTCTAGTCCTTCCAACTTAATCTTTATCTCACTTGATCTGATATTAATCATTTCTTCCTTCCTAAAAAAGATCTCTGGCTTGTGTGACATTGCTTTTTAAAAATATCTGCTGCCATTCTGAAGAATCTATCTCATTTTTTTTCCTGAAAAAAAGCACTTTCCCCTTACAACCATTCACGAGCCCCTTCTCTACCGTCCTCTGTGGTGTCCGTCTCGGACTCTTCCTTCTGTACTTTCCAGGAGGACCAAGTCCATGCCTTTTACCTCTACAACCAGATTCCTCCTACTGGAAGCCATCATCCATCCTCCAGTGACCTTCTGAAGATGGAAATTATACAATCCTATTGCTATCAAGAATAAAACCATTCCAAGCCCCCCTCCCCCCATCAGTTCAGCAATCTGGTTTTGCCTGTCTCTGCAAACTCATTCCTTATTTCTCTTACATCCCCCTCTGGTTGCAGATTTCAGAACACACTACCCTAATCATGGTTCTCCGTCCTTGTCCATTCTGTCTTAAGGAAAGTCTTTCCACCAAGCAAATTCTTCTTACTTTAAGACCAAACTCCACAGTCTCACCTTCCTTAGGACACCGTCCAGGCTGAGACAGATCTGCAAGTCTCCCTCTTTTGTTCCACCGTGATCTCTGCGTGTGCCCCTTATAGATGCCACCACGGAGGACAAGAAGGACTTCTTTGTCAGACCATCACTCTAGTCGCCTGCGAGGCTCCATATCTATCTGGCAAAGAATTATAAACACTTGGAAAATGAACTGCCTTGCTGTTTCTCAGTTAATATTGATTACCCTAATCACTAGACAGGTCCTAATGCTAATTGAGCATGCTCCGGGGAGATGAGAACACTAACACTGAACACAAGTGAAATAAATATATGATAGTTTCCAAATTTGTAGAGAACACATCCTATTAAATGCTAAGTCATTGCAGCAGCATAATCCTGCAATTTGACAGCATGTTCAATAATGTCCCCAGAGAAATTTTCTATCGTGTAGTTGCTTTTTACTATCTGGGGTTTAATCAACACCTGAAATTATTTTAATTCTTGGTTTTATCATAGTACCTACTTCAGTGCTAAAGAAAGAAATATTTCCTTCTACTCTTCACCTACCCCCCATGCTTAACAGTTGCTTGTTCCTTTGTTTTTTCATTTATTCACTAAATATTCAGTGTACTGAATATTCACTATGTGCCAGGCATTCTGCCACGTATTAGCCCCAAGGCAGGATTTGTAGCAGACAGAGAGTCTGCCCCATGGAACTAACTTTCACCAAGAAAAGAAAAGAAAATCAAAGAAGCAGACCTAAAGCAATTTACTAAAATAATTATGTCTGTGTATACGGCCATGAAGGAAACAA